ATTTCGATAGTTCCTCAAATTACTGACTACATTTGAACGCATCCCTGTGACCAGCTCTCATAGTATGCCTCTCGTCCAATGAAATTACTTGGTCGCTCTATGATATATACCTAAGATTACTTCCAGAAAGTTGTTCATGTTCTCAATTTTTTACATTTAACGTTATATTCGTTCGGTACCCTTCGGTTCACACGTGTACCGAACCGAAGGGCCCGTACCGAATAATTTCAGTACGTGTACCGTTACACTGCGATTTAAATCAGCATATACTTCTGCCAGGGGATGCCACCCCTCAAAATCTCCTGCCACCCTCTTGCCACTCCATGAATATTTGTCTAGATCCGCCCCTGAATCGATAGCGTTTAACAGACGGGCGCTGTTTGGGGCGTTACGTTACAAAATACTACGCAGACAGCGTTAGCTGGGAGATCGATCACGTTGCTAAACTACGCGGTAGCCTACTATTAAATCCACGTAAACTACACATCACAGCCATGAGGCCAGATCAATGAAACCAGGATACATCCTTTACTGTAAAAACTGGATCCAAACACAGCTGCCTGTGTGCGCTTGATCAATACTTTCTGATGTTATATGATATGCTACATATTAGCTAGGCTACATGGCCCGCCTAACGCGTAAAGTTATACAATCATTTGTACCAGTGCTTTTCACAAGTAGACTCTTGCAGGCCAGAGTATATGAGTGATTCAACAACAACACAAAGACATATGAGAAGTGATCAGGACGAACAGAAAGAGGAAAAGGAAAAGAGAGATGAAGAGAACAGGAGGGTCAGAGCAGGAGGAAGAGGAGGAGATGAAGAGACCAGGAGGGTCAGAGCAGGAGGAGGAGATGAAGACATTAGTGAAGAAGAATAAATGTATGTGAGGAATAATGATGAAGTGTCAGAAAGAGGGCCAGAGGCAGGGATCAGGAGGCAGATGAAACTCCAGCTGGACCACATGGTATGTTCTTATTCTCCTTACATATTCCATCACAGCAGCACAATCTAGCAGCTCTTAGTATTGATAAATATTGATTGAAATGTGTTGCTGCACAGGTCACCTGTAGCTCTCTGAAGAGATGGGTGATGTCATTTGTGTACTTAATTATAAATTAAAATGTTGAGCTTGTCAATCTTAATCTGAAAATACAAAAACTGAAATATAGGTAAGAGAAGAAACTGACACTTTTGTGATGTAATTCCCTCAATGCAGATCACACATGGACTGATCCATTATTTTAATAGGAGGGTAAATGCCAATGGTATGGCGTGACGGGGTTGAAACAAACTGAGGGACAATATTGCAATTTCATAAATAATTCAAGTATTTTTTCAGAATTGATTTTTGATCAGTTAAAGTTGACAAGCATATTATTATATTAGCAGCAACATTTTGGGATAATTGGCCATTTTGATTTGTTTGATATTAAATTAATATGTAATGCTTAGTGAGGACATGCAAATATGTCTGTCTAATACTGTTACGGTGTGCAGGAAGCAGGACCCAAATGCAGATTTAAGTGACAAAATAATTCCTTTATTTCAAGGCTACAATATTCAGAGACAGAACAGAACACTCACCGCAGTTTACTCACAACACAAGACGAACCGACACTGAACACAGGAAGAGACAAGACTAAATACAGGAAGGGGTAATCACAAGACGAGACACAGCCGGGCAGGGGAGGAGAAACACAAGGGCCACAGGTGAAAACAATCAGACACACCAGGGAAACTAACGACGGGAGGAAAAACACAGGAAGAAGGACCAGACAATATACAAGGATGAAAATACCCATAACCAGACATACAAAACTACAACACAGACAGATCCTAACAGTACCCCCCCTCAAGGGACTGATCCCAGACGTCCCAAAACAAAACCACAAAAAGTCCAAAACCACAAGCAGGGTGGGTGGAGGGGGTCCGGAGGAGGGACGTAGGCCACCAGGGTGGGTGGAGGGGGACCGGAGGAGGGACACAAAACTAGGGCCAACAGGGTGGGTGGATGGGGTCTGGAGGACGGGCTTGGGCTGACAGCCCAGGGGCAAGGCAGAGCTTGAAAAGGGGGTTATGGAGGGGCGAAGGCAGTGGCAGGAAGAGTCAGGGGGTCGGGCCCGAGGGCGAGGACCGCGGCACTCAGGGGGCAGGGCTCGAGGGCGAAGACCGCGGCTCTCAGGGGGCCGGGCTCGAGGGCGAAGACCGCGGCTCTCAGGGGGCCGGGCAGAACCCGGTGTCGGCCGGACAGGAACCGGCGATGGTGGGACAGGCCTCGGCAGGATCCCCCACGGAAGAGGACCAGGAGTTGGCAGGACCCCCCGCCAGGAGGCCAGTCGGCGGGACCCCCAAAGGGACAGGACACAGGATTGGCAGGACCCCCGGCAGAAGGGCAGTCGGCGGGACCCCCAACGGAACAGTACACAGGGTTGGCAGGACCCCCAGCAGGAGGGCAGTCGGTGGGACCCCCAACGGGACAGGACACAGGATTGGCAGGACCCCCGGCAGGAGCGCAGTCGGCGGGACCTCCAACGGGACAGGACATAGGGTTGGCAGGACCCCCGGCAGGAGGGCAGTCGGCGGGACCCCCAACGGGACAGGACATGGGGTTGGCAGGACCCCCGGCAGAAGAGCAGTCTGCGGGACCTCCAACGGGACAAGGCATGGGGTTGGCAGGACCCCCGGCAGAAGAGCAGTCTGCGGGACCTCCAACGGCACAGGACATGGGGTTGGTAGGACCCCCGGCAGGTGAGTAATCGACGGGGCCTCCAACGAGACAGGACAAAGGGTTGGCAGGACCCCCGGCAGGAGAGTAGACGGCGGGACCTCCAACGGGACAGGACAAAGGGTTGGCAGGACCCCCGGCAGGAGAGTAGACGGCGGAACCTCCAACGGGACAGGACAAAGGGTTGGCAGGACCCCCGGCAGGAGAGTAGTCGGCGGGGCCTCCAACGGGACAGGACAAAGGGTTGGCAGGACCCCCGGCAGGAGAGTAGTCGGCGGGGCCTCCAACGGCACAGGACATGGATTGGTAGGACCCCCGGCAGAGGAGTAGTCGACGGGGCCTCCAACGGGACAGTACTTGGAGTTGGGAGGACCCCCAGCGGAACCTCCAACGGACCAGGACATTGGGTAGGGACTTGAGACGTGACTCAAGTAGGGACTCGAGAGGAGACTCGAGAGGGGAACCAAGGGGGAACTCGAGAGGGCAACCAAGGGGGAACTCGAGAGGGGACTCAAGAGGAGACTCGAGAGGAGACTCGAGAGGGGAACTAGAGAGGGGACTCCAGAGGGGACTAGAGGAGGAACTAGAGGAGGAACTAGAGGAGGGAACTCGAGAGGGGACTTGAGAGGGGAACTAGAGAGGGGACTCGAGGAGGGACTAGAGGAGGGACTAAAGGAGGGAACTCGAGAGGATATTTGAGAGGGGACTCGAGAGGAGACTTGAGAGGAGACTCTGGTAGGAACTTGAGATGGGACTAGAGAAGGGACTAGGAAAGTGACCTGAGGAGGGACTATGGAAGGGACTACAGAGGGGACTAGAGGAGAGACTAGAGGAGGAACTAGAGAAAGAAACTCGAGAGGAGACTTGAGAGGGGAACTAGAGAGGGGACTCGAGAAGGGACTAGAGGAGGGACTAGAGGAGGGACTAGAGGAGGGACTAGAGGAGGGACTAGAGAGGGGACTCGAGGGGGAACTGGAGAGGGGACTTGAGATGGGACTGTGGCAGCTGGGGCCAGATCTGGGTCTGGAACCAAGGCTGCTGGGGCCGGGACTGGGGCCGGAATTGAAGCCAGAATCCTGGCTGTAAGGTCCGGTTCAGAAGCCGGAAACATGGCTGTAAGGTCCGGTTCTGAAGCCGGAAACATGGCTGTAAGGTCTGGTTCTGGAGCCGGAAACATGGCTGTATGGGCCAGCTCTGGAGCCGGAACCATGGCTGCTAGGACCGGTACCTGAGTACGAGCTGGCTTCCTGACCTTGCGTCTTTTAGAAGTCTTTTGGAGGCTCCGTGGACCTCCAAACGCCAGGCGGGATCCCAAGAAAGGGTCAGAGAATGGAGACTGGCACTCAGGGCTGCGTGAGAAAACTCTGAGAAACTCAGGCAATGAGCCTCTCACCTCCATTTGTGCCTTTTTGAGGACAGCCTCTTTGTCCCTTTTAGCCAAGGTTCTACTCCATTCAGCATAATGACACTGAAGAGTGTACTCTAGGGATAACAAGTCCAAATCAAAATTAAAATCCGCTGGGTCCATTGTTGGTCGGTTCGTAATGTTACGGTGTGCAGGAAGCAGGACCCAAATGCAGATTTAAGTGACAAAATCATTCCTTTATTTCAAGGCTACACTATTCAGAGACAGAACAGAACACTCACCGCAGTTTACTCACAACACAAGACGAACCGACACTGAACACAGGAAGAGACAAGACTAAATACAGGAAGGGGTAATCACAAGACGAGACACAGCCGGGCAGGGTAGGAGAAACACAAGGGCCACAGGTGAAAACAATCAGACAACTAGACACACCAGGGAAACTAACGACAGGAGGAAAAACACAGGAAGAAGGACCAGACAATATACAAGGATGAAAATACCCATAACCAGACATACAAAACTACAACACAGACAGATCCTAACAAATACTAAGACAACCAATTTTTTTAAAACAAAATATATATTTAGTTTTACATTGTAATGCAAAAAAACCTGTCCATTAATTCATTGCTTTAAAATACATTGTGTAGTTTCCTTTCATTTAAAATGGTTGAGGTAAGCTTGGGGGACTCAAAGGGCACCCGATTGTTTGTCTGAACACCTTGTTTCTCTTGTGCATTAAGAACACTTGTGTTAGGGCATGAATTAACAATAAATAGGTTATATACAGTATAAAATACCACGTACTGTCCGCCCTCCCATGCCACCCTGGCATGACCTCTTGCCCCCCCTTTGCCCCCCCATGTAAAATGTTCTAGAACCGCCACTGCTTCAGGGGCAACGGGAAGGAAACGGAAAAAAGAACAGGAGGAATCGAAAGTCAAAGACAGAGGTACGTCGGTTTGTGTAAAAAAGAAAAAAGTCAGTATGTACTGTACCGTTAGACATTTGATTTTAAGCTAGCTAGCTAGCTAAGGAGGTAGCCTGCCCATGATACAGCTTTGATGCCATGCTAGCCGCGAGCCTCTGATACAGAATGATAAATACAAATGATTTAAAGTTTTTATTTATGTGTTATTATTCTTATAATCTTTTTGTAAATAATATACTACTTTTCTATTGTGATGGCTGTAAATTGATCCTCCAATAGTGTTTAATTTGTCAGATAGTTTATTTTCACGGTCAACTTGTGTGTAGGCCTATATATATATATATATATATATATTTATTTTTCTGTTTATTTTCTATTATATTTTAGAATTTGTTTATTTTCTGCTCTTTTTAATGTCTAATCATTGTGCAATGCTTTGTTTTATATGCTTCTGTAACGAAATAATGTGAATGTTAGCCAGAAGAAAGCTATCTGGATAACTGCTCCTTTGTATAAAGTGAGGCTGACCAACCAATATGGGCATGTGTTATTATTTACATTACATGTCATTTGTTAGACGCTTTTATCCAAAGCGACTTACATACATTCAGTACTGTGGACAATCCCCACAGGAGCAATTTGGGGTGAAGTGTCTCAGGGACACAACGACATGCTGATTGCAGTGGGACTCGAACTTGCTACCCCCTGATTCAAAGTCCAGACCCATCTTTTATATAGGCCAGTTGTGAACATGCATACAGCTGAGGCAGATTGCAACAGTTATTTTTGCCTGACTGTATATACATGTTTTTGCTTGTAATGTGCTAATATCATTTTCCAGCTGCACTTGAGAAATACCTCAAAAAGCCCCCAGTTGCTGGAGAAGGAACATCTGATCTCCCATGTACATCACACTCTGAAGAATGTAAGTTTTGCCAAACATTTATGGTCTCTGTGTAATCGTTAATACACTACTTTTTGTCATTATTATTATTATTGTTATTATTATGATAAATAATGAAAACTGAAGCATGAATAACTTATTTGCATGTTTGGATTGCCTGCCTGCAGGTGAAGGAATAACGAGCACAGTATGTGAGTCCACCATTGCAGCCCCCTCAGATCCTGCTGACTGCCCAGGCCCATCTGAGTCCACCATTGCAGTCCCCTCAGATCCTGCTGACTGCCCAGGCCCATCTGAGTCCAACATTGCAGTCCCCTCAGATCCTGCTGACTGCCCAGCACTGAGTGATACAGTGAGAAAAGCCATGTGAACATCACATTGAAATCATGGTCTGATACCAGATGGGAGAGTCGGATCAACAGCATAGAGGCTGTAACGGAGCGTCCACACTACAGCTTCAAAAAAAGCTTGGAGCTGGGCGTGTCTGAAGCTTGGGGATATTATTCAAGCAACGCGACCAACAACCAATCATATGAATCTCCCGCCCCCGACATACGAAGCAAAAACCTCCGGGGATTTTATGCGAGCAATATATATATATATAAACTCCCCAAACAGGCGAAAACCTACCAGTTTCACCCACTGTCTCTGCCACCTCCCTCCATGCCTGGTTCCTCCGGTTTGTATCCCGGTAGGTGAAGAGGGTCTGGTCATACAACACCGGGTGATTTGCTACGGCAATAATTAGTTTCTCCTCCATCTTTTTTTGAAATATAGAAATGAACGGCGGGATATCTCTCCCAGGTTAGACGCGGTTTGATTGGCTACGGCTTGAGCTGTCAGATTTTCCGAAACGGGATTTGATTGGCTGGCGCTGGCTACTCCGGCGTCTCCGGCGGAGACGGACCGCTATGCTACCCACAATTCAGTTCGGCGAAAAAGCGAGGCAACGTGACGTCACCCCATTCAAAGTGAATGGGCAGATTGAAGCTGTCGACGCTGTAGTGTGGACGGGCCGTAAGGTATCAGGCTGCAGAAGTCAGAGATACACTTCTAGAGGTGAGGGATAAAGCCACAGATGGAGTTGTAAAAATTGAGGCACAATCTTTGGCTGAAGAGGTTGGATCATACCGCTTTGCAATATGCACTGTGGTATGCAGTGGCGTTTCTAGGTGTACAAAACTGGGGGGGCAGAAAGAGGTCGGGGGAGAGAGAGAGAGAGAGAGAGAGAGAGAGAGAGAGGGGGGGGACAGAGAGAGGGAGGAGAGAGAGAGGGGGGACAGAGAGAGGGGGGGAGGAGAGAGAGAGGGGGAGTGTCAAATTACATACTGAAGACCACAGGAGCAACACTGTGAGCGCATACATTTACGTACACAGCGTGGGGATGTCATAGTAATGCACCTTCATACATGGAGTAAAGGTCACCATCACAAAGTAATTCTTAACAATAACAACAACCGTAATGCTTTAGCATTAAAACACCATAGACTGTAAATATAAGGAAAACACAGACACTCATCATCGAGGTCACAATATCAATCGATCCAGCAGAGGCAAAACACAGAAGATCAACAAAATATATGACATAAATGAACTTACCAAAGCTGAAGGCTCACTTGAAAAGAAAAGCGGCACGGCGGTCCTTCCTCTGACAGAATGTGTCTATCACTTTGGGGATGAAGTCCTGTAGTTGCTGGATCAACTGGCTTTCAATTGAAAGCATGGCCAATGCGTTAAGTCGCGGCTGTCCCATGGTGTTGCGAGTGAAAGTCTTTATCCTTTTGAGGGTGGAAAAGTTCCTCTCTGACTCGGATGTCGTCATCGGAGTTGTCACTATTATTTTGACCAAAATAACAGTCTCAGCAAACGTTTCCTCCAAGTTGTTCTCGTGAATGGATTTCAACAGAGACAGGGCAGTGTTTCCAGTGTGAAGCTCACTGTGGCGGTAGAGCGTGGTCAGCTCAGACTTAAACTTCTCCTTGTTTCCCAACGCAGGCCACAGTTTCACGGCGCAGTCAAGCTCAGGTGTAGGAAATGACAGGACATGCTGTGGGAAGAATGAGCTGTCAACAAGCTTTGCAGCGATCAAATGGTCACTCTGTGAGAACCTCTGTTCCACCTGTGAGATGACTGTGTCACAAGCCTCCTTCATCACCGGCGCTGTGCTGCTGACTCGTCGGCCTGGCTCGTCTGTTCCATCATGAGCAGTGGCGGCCAATGCATCAGTTTTCTGCCTCATTTTCTGAACATTTTCCTTGAAACGGCAGAGCGCGCTGTTGATCCCAGGTGCATCGATGCTTCGTTTTTGCAGAGTGTTGTATAGAACATCCACTTCTGGCATAAGCAACGAAAAAAACTCCAGGAGCTGCATAAATGCTCGGTCCCGCAGTTTCTTTGACAGGCCGTATGCCTCACTTATGGTGACCGCATCCCATCCTGGTTGTGCGCGTATATGCTTCATACACTGAAGTAGTGCATCTCGGGTCTCCCAAACCGCGTTCACAGTTCTGCTTTTAAAGTTCCATCTCACAGCCGGTGGCCGTGGGATGCGTCTCTGTGTTGCCTCTGCAAGAGCTGCAACACGTTTTGGAGCACCGGAGAAAAAAGTGGAAAAAGCAGTTAGATCTGCAAAAAACACCTTCAGGATGCTCATCCTTGCTGAACACAGTTGCTGCAGGGTCAGGTTCAGTTGGTGGGCGTAGCAGTGAACAAACTGAGCGTTTGGGTACGTCTCCTTCATCACCGTCTGTACCCCGCGCACGTTACCGCTCATGACGGCCGTCCCGTCATAGGTCTGAGCGATTAGCTTTTCTTTCAGCTTCAGGGGTTCCAGAACAGCCTTGATGCTGTTAGAGACCTACACCAGTTTTGTCCTTTACTTCCACAAACTCCAAAAAACGCTCTGTAACTGTGAGGTCAGGCATAATGTATCGCAGCACAATCACCATTTGCGATTTACAGGAGACATCGTTGTCTCGTCGGCCTGAACGGCAACAAATGATGTGTTGTCCACTTGCTTGGCTATTTCCTCCCTGTACACATCATACATGCAGTCCAAGAGTTCATTCTGTATGGTGCTTGATGTCCCTTTGAAAACAAGCTGAGCTTCGTAGTGCCGTTGAAGCCTGGAATCGCCCTCACACATTGTCTCGAAAATTGACCTGAATATCCCTGGATTCAGAGAGTCCGCCGACTCGTTGTGGCCCCGCAGTGCTGTCTCACATTTCCCACACAGTTTAATACAGGTGATGATCCGACCAAGCACGTACCTGTTTTCTTCCACCTTCCTATTATGATAATCAATGCCGCGTCTGTAGGCGCTGTCAATCTGAGCTGCAACATTCACCCTTCCAAGTAATCCCAATTTTACGGCATTTTCCAAATGACTGTTGCTGCTCTCATGCTTCATTGTCCTCTCCGAAAGATGCTTTAAGTCCTTGTAACCTGTCCTCGACCAAGTACCTTGATCTTCACCAAAAAGCAGGCAAGGAAAGCAAAAGAGGGAATTCTTCTGGATGCTCGCCGTTAGCCATTTCTTTTTAGCAAACCACTCAGCGTTAAACCCACGTTTAACTTTGCCCGCAGTCTGGACCATTTGGAAATCCGGTGGATGGTGGGCACCGAGGCGCTTTACCTCCAGTTTCTCTCCGAGACTAAGTGTCTCAAATGTGTGCTCCAGTAAATGGTCAACTTCATTCATTTTCTTTCAGTTTTGTACTTCTTTTAATCGCTGGTGATGTTAGCTATATGCTGCTCTCTCGTCTCCTCTTCAAACTACACGTGACGTTTCGCAGCACTGCACACGTGAGTACTTACAGCCAATCAATTCTGAATTATGTGAGATGACGTATGGTGGGGATGGGAGCACTATGCCCCTACGGTCATTATTTTTTTGCCACACACATTAAATAGAAAAATACTCTGAGCATGCGCAGTGTAGTTTTTACAATCACCGTTCACTTAGACTGTGAGAGGGAGGGGCAGGATCGGGTTTTGTCCCACATGGCTCTAAACAGCTCAAAACGGCACTCTAGACACTAATTAGAAGAACACAGACTAAAACAGAAATGTACAGACGAATCAGATTATTAAACATGACCTTAAAATATATTTTATATGTTTTTTTATTTATTTTTTTGTTTTTTTTGGTAATCATTATTTGTAATACTTTCTTCTGACACTAGGTGGGGCTGTGCCCCACCTGCCCCTAATGACCCGCCGCCACTGGTGGTATGGTATGACATCCTGACCAGTGGCGAGCCGTCAGGGTCCTCTAGGGCTAGGCCCTCTGTGAGGGCCTAAGACAGGGGTGCCCAACCAGTCGATCGCGATCGACCGGTCGATCGCGGGGAGATTCCCAGTCGATCGCGAGATGTGTCTAAAAATAGAACAACAATATTCTGTTTTATCGTTAATGTCCTGTAACATAATCTTCCTGTGCCAGAATAATGCACTTGAACGCATCAAAGCTTTGTGATTGGCCGGCGTGAGTTAGCTGACGTTGTCCGTGTCAACAGGAGTGACAGTCCGCACACACACAAGACCGCAATTATAGCAGAAGCAAAATAAGCCCAAAATATATAATTTTCACTCCGAGTGGGAGGATGATTATTTGTGTATCTATTCCAATTCAAAGTCCATCTGTCTCATCTGCAATGCGAGCGTGGCTTTATCGAAGAAGGGTAATTTAGGAGCGGCATTTCAAAACAGTGCACAAACGCTACGAGACGGAATTCCCTCCTGATTCTGCCCTACGCTCCAAAAGGGGAGGGGCCTGAGAGCACAGCTAAATGCACAGCAGTCCATTTTCACCAGGCCAACAACAAGAGCAAGGCTGCTACCAGAGCATCTTATCGTGTCAGTCACGTTCTTGAGAAACACATGAAGTCTTTCAAAGACGGCGAAGTTGTGAAAGAAGCTTTCATGAAGGCTGCGACGCACTTTTGGGGGACAGTAAAAATAACAGCAGCATTTCAACAGGTTTTTGATATAATAAAAACTCAAGTTAGATACCGTTATTAATCAGCTGTGAGTTTTAGTTTGTTTGAACTTATTCATTATAATTATTCTACAAAATGGTATAAGAATGCAAACTTAAATTGATTATAGTCTATCATCAATTCAGGTTAAGAAACTAGTGTTGCTTGCTTCCTATTTTAAAGGCATTTATTTTTATACTCGACTAAAATGCAACAAAAAAGGGTTTGATTCTATTAATGTTGTCTTTTTTATTGCACGTTGGCAGCAGATTCCTGTGTAGCTTCAGATCTGAGTTGTCTTATTAGTAAGCCTCATTTATACTTTTGTAGCAACACTATTTT